TTTTAAATACAATTTTTAATTGAGGTTCATATTAAATAATGGCAATATGAAAAATATAGTATAAAAATGCAATGACAATTGTATTTATGTCTTAAAGGGACAGATAATAAACAAAGATACTATATAAAAACCATGATTAACAGTGTATTCCCCTAACAACAGAATGCCACACATACTTTAACACCACAATAAATGCATTGTCTATTTTGAGGGAACAATAATACACTCTGTATATTTTTTTTCCTTCCCCTAGCTCTGGTTGTTGTTATTCATTTTATGTTCATAAGACAAAAAAAATAAAAAATCTACTATTGTGCTAAATCCAGGACAAAATACCATCTGTTTCTGTTGCCAATTTGAGGATGGTTGTCAGGTGCTGTGATACAGATGCAATGAGTACTGTGTTACATGAGATGCCCGTCTTTTCACCCAGCTTGTGTAAATCACTGCAAGGGCATGGCACAGCTGAGCCAGCCATCCGCAGAGAGATAAACCACTGGGGAACAAGCTTCAGGCTGGCAAATGGGAGAAACGGGGGTCAGGAGCAGCCTATGGATGTTCAGGCTTGCTGAGTGGTGCAAATTGCAGCTTGTAAAACAGCCAGCTGAATGGAGAGGGAGGTGTACCACAAAAAAGCTCCCTGTTGAGAATACCTCGGAGAACATATTAGTACGAAGTGGGTGCAGAACAAGGTGGAAAAATAGCTCACTAAATAGCAGAGGTCCCACAAGTGGCAGTGGAATGCGGTATTTGATTGTAGGTGGGATTTGGTGACTTGTTCATTTGTGGAGACCCCCCTGTTGACTCAATTGCTTGTCTATTACAGAAGCCAATGACAGTGGCAGGGAAGAGGCAAGGCAAGGCAAGTTTATTTATATAGCACATTTCATACACAATGGTAATTCAAAGTGCTTTACCTGGTGATAAAGGCATGAACAAGTTTCTCCAAGTCTTGACTGGAAACAAAACATCTAATTCTTGCAATGTTTTTGAGATGATAGTATGCTGATTTAGTTACTGCTTTGAGGGTGGTTGCTCTCCGACAGCCTTGGTAAGCAAGCCACTGCTTCTTTGAATAGGTTACACATTACCCCCTAAAGAGAAGAAAAATAAGCTGAAATGGAAAAAAAACATTTTCAATTTACAGCGTGGCCTTTGTGATAGCAGCTGGATATACGAGACGAAGAATAGATGGTTAAAAAAAAGAAAAAAGCCTCATCAAAGTCAAAATGACAGCACAGCTGGGCTTTCATCAAGGCACATTTGATGAGTGCTTATCCATCCTCAAACCCTAAAAAATCACGGTGAGACGGCAAGCCTGGTGCTGAACGACCACTGCGCACCACTGAGCTGAGCAAAAGCCCCAGCTGGCCTGAAAACCGCCACGTATGGCTCACAATAGACATGGACGGGTGACAGCTGTCTACACTAGCGGCTCACTCTCTTTGGGACTGGCATCATTGACAAGCACTCAAGGAAGTGACATGATTTTAGGGGGTACTAGGTTTAGGAGCTTGCCCTCCGGCCGAGATGAGTCAGAGCCAGAAGGGGATGAGGTGTAGGTACCATCTGTCACAGAGGCTGCCCGTCGCACCACCAATGAAAAACTCCCACTCTTCTCCCACCATGTAATAACACAGTCTGAGCTCTGAAGGCTAAGAAGAATAAAATGGCAAAATCAAAAAGGGTAAGATGTGTGCAAAATGTTTTGGGAAAGAAATTAAATTCTGAAGAAGGCTTTTTTTTTTCCTTTGGAAATTTGAATACGTTCAAATTGGTTTGTTTTCAAGACTCAAGGTCATCTGATAATTTCACATTCTGCGAGCATCAAGCCATGTATAGCAACGCAGCTATGACCCGTTTTGCTCAGATTTTACATTAGAAATGATCAATCACTTTTCTGCCTTTGAACAATGCACTGAGAAAACACAATATCAGAGGGCAACAGAAGCAAATGGTTGACATCTTGAAATAACAAGGCAAAGACGTCTATCTCTATCTGCAAATGCTCCATTTCCTATCAACTCAATCAGCTGTAACAAATCTAAAATCTTCACTGAAAATTAATTTGGTCTAACAATAACCTTTATGAGCTTCTACATCATTTCACCCTACCTTAATGGCGGTTGTGTCTCAATCGTGCAGTGATCGCACAATAAATCTTGTTGGTACATCTGTACTCTGAATAATTAAGTAATTATTCACCGGCACCCAATCTTTCAGCTGTTTACAGTTCATCTACACTCTAAAAATTCCTGGGTTATTTTTTTAACCCAAATGCTGAGTTCTTTTTTTCAGTGTTTGGGTAGTTTTTGTGTTACCCAGCTCCTGGGTCAAATGTAACAACCCAATGTGTGGGTAGTTTTTTAGTGTTACCCAGCTCCTGGGTGAGACATAACAACCCAATGTTTGGGTAGTTTTTGTATTACTCAGATCCTGGGTCAGACGTAACCCAGCGGTTGAGATTCCGTCCTATATTTACCCAGCCCTTGGGTTAAAAACAACCCAAATTGGGTTGTTTTTAACCCAGTGTTTTTTAGAGTGTAATTAATCTATTTGTGCTTAAATATGGTGCTGTCCTTCATGATATGAGCATAATGGCCTGAGAAAAGAAAATTGTTTGGATCCCGTTGCCTTCCTCAATTTGGTTGAATCATCTGCTGACTTCCTGCGTCTTGCCCTTAGAATACTAATAACTATCTTTGTGGGGATATCAATGTCAGAGTCTGTGTTTGAGATAGGCAGCATGCAATATTCTTCAGCTTCTGAGGGATCAAGCAGAGTTTGCTCAATAGAGGAGGTTTCCCGTAGCTCGGAGGAATCATATTCTGACAGGGATCTTTCAGTAATCAGTGGCTTTGCACAGAGAATTAACTAACCATCCAAAACAACTACCTTCCTGCTCTAATGTGCGATTACAGGATTTGAAATTCAAGCAGCAAAGGAAATCCAGCAAAGCCTGGAGCCGCCATATGTTCCTTTTACTTTATATAGAAATAATGAGCCATTTGTGCATTTCCTATTAAAATATTTGCATACCAAACACTTGACTTGAATACTGACTCGAACAGCCCATTCATCCAAGCTGTGTTCAGAACTCTCCATTCATCTGAGCTACACAGCTAGTCACCGCTAACTCTGCCCCCATACAAACCCCACTGCTGTTCGGCATGACAATTTACAAATATGGATTTTCCACTAATTATACTGAGTGTGTTTAAAAGCTTTTAAAATCCTTATGCCCTGAAGAGTCTTCGCTTCAATTGTTCTGAGGGTAAGTACTTCTGGGGATGACAGTAGTATAACGATCTGAGAGAGGAGAACCATGAAGCCAGGAGGTGTAACCACTAATTGACTGAATCTGAACAAACGCTATCTTCCTTTCTATCTCACATGCAACTCGAACTTTTCTTATCTACATGTTTTCTCTCCTGGCTCAGTCCACACTAAATCTGCACCTACAGAACTACAGATTTTCTTTTTCTTTATTAAGTCAAATTAAAACTATGGAAGCTTGTTTCTGCCACTGAATGAAAAATAAAAACGTCTCAGTTACGTATGGTAACCCTCGTTCCCTGAAGGAGGGAACGGAGACGTCACGTCGAATGACCGACGAAATTGGGATCTCACTTAGAGAGACCAATCTACTTAGAGTGTAAACTAAACGAGCCAATGCACATTGGCATGCGATGATTGCGCTGCATCTGCTGCCTACTTATACTCACGCTGTGATCAGCAGCAGCTGGATGCAATAATCGCATGCCAATGTGCATTGGCTCGTTTAGTTTACACTCGAAGTAGATTGGTCTCTCTAAGCGAGATCCCAATTTTGTCGGTCATCCGATGTGACGTCGAGAGTGACCGACTGAAAGGGAACAGTAATTGCAACTTTTTATCTCACAATTCGGACTTTTTTCTCGCAATTGTGAGTTTGCATCCCACAATTCTGACTTTTTTTAATTGCATGATATAAACGCGTCAGAATTGCGTGATATAAACTCGCTATTGTTTTAGTCAGAATTGCGAGAAATAAACTCAGAATTGTGAGAAAGGCAGGCAGAATTCTGAGTTTATATCTCACAATTCTGAGGGATAAAATAAGAATTTTGAAATATAAACTCAAAACTCCAAGAAAAAAGTTAATTTTGAGATAAAAAGTTGCAATTACCTTTTTATTTTTTTTAGTCTGTGGCAGAAACGGGCTTCCATTTAAGACAGTTTTAGAAACTTTTTGTTTTCCTCATTTCTTTTTGCTAATTTTCAAATTATTTTTAAATATAGACTTTATTATTTTACTCTTGCCCAAGACCCAGAATTTCAATCTTAAAAGTTTGAATATCATCATTAAACTACAATGACAATATTAAAATATGTGTGTAAGTGATATATTTATTGTGTGAAAATGATTTATGCAAATTTTTACACAAACTACTGTCCCCGAATTCAATAATTTCCATCACGAATCACAATTAGCATAGTGGATCAAAACCAAAAGTTAGTGTACTCGGTTACCATGGAGACAACAGTATCAGGGAAGAGAATTCATGTGATGAATTATGAGAGATGTGATGTGTGAAAAAAAAAACCCTGAACAGACTGCTTTTATTGTGTGTCTCTAATCAATCTGTAATTTTCTCAAATTATGCATAAGTGTGAAATTATTATTTAATTGTCAGTATTTAGGATACACAAAATGCTAACAATGAAATTAGCCTTAAAAAGACTATGGAGTCTGACATATTAATCCAAAATATTTAAAATGTAATTTTAATCACAAAACAAAAGCGAGTTAGATTTTTTCCCCCCACAATTCACAGGGCCAAAAATGTCCAGTTGAAGCAACACCTTTACCCATATCTGCATTTTAAAAGTTTTTTGGAATGAATTTTGTTCAAATATAAGGTAACATATGATTTTTGCTCCTAATTTGACATTTAAAATAAATCAGAATAATTAGTGCAGAAAACATCAAATACTCAGACTCAGTGTGGGTTGCATACCATGACAGAGATGTGCAGGATACGAAGCTCCTCCTCGGCGGAGTCACTAGCGGGGTAAGCGGTGGCCGCCGGGCCAGGCAGGTTCTGACTGCCGTCCTGATGGTGGATGTGGAAGAGCAAAGTACCATTTTCCAACCACTGCTGCCTCCAGCGCACCAGGGGGATGTCTTCAGAGTTCCCAGAGATCTCTGCAAATATAAACAAAAGATAATATAAACAAAATCAGGTTCAGTAAATGTTTTGTGTTGCGCAGTGGCGCTAAAATGGGGTGTGCAGTATATGCAGTGTATAGGGATGCAGCACGGAGGGGGGTGCTATTTTGCTTTTGCCGAAATCATTCTGTGAAAATCATCTTTAATAAAATGTTATAAATAATCAAAAGCTTAGTTGATAAACATAATGTAACATGAAACATTTTTATTTAATGGTTGTTTAGCATTTTAATGAGTTCAAAAATATATCTATTTTAAAATGAGTACATATCAACCGCTCACCCTTCGACACATTGCTGTAACAGACACGGTCACATTCATTTCACTCATTCCTTTTATTTATAAAGCACTTTACAACTGCACCTGTAGACCAAAGTGCTGTACAATCAACATACAGGTACATACAATACATGAAACACAAACAATCCAAATAAAAACACAGATACTAGCCCAACTCCTTAAAAGCTAATGACAAGAAATAATTTTTAACCCCAGCTTTAAAAACATTTATGGATGTAATCTCTTTAATCTCAGATGGTAGGCTATTCCAAAGCCTTGGACCTGCAACAGCAAAGGCCTGATCCCCTTTCAGCTTTAAATGAGTTCGTGGGACAGTAAGAAACAACTTATTTGTTGATCTTAAAGACCTAGATGACTGTCGGAAAGTAATCAGCTCAGACACATAAGCAGGAGCCGTTCCATGCACTGCCTTGAACACATACAACAGAACCTTATATTTTATCCTGAAACCCACTGGTAGCCATCTGAGTGAGGCCAAGATAGGAGAGATGTGTTGACTTTTCTTAGCACTCACAAGCAGCCTAGCACATGACCAACATGAATAGAGGAGGGAAACGTTCAGGGGTGCAGAACAGAAAAGACAAAGGGAAAAGAAAAACAACACATTAAAATGAGGACAGCAATGCCCAAATGAACTAACAGAGATTAGTAAGCTTACCCTATTATTTTTTTCATTGTAAGTCATTAAGTCATTCAAAATTTTACATTGTTGCCTAAGAGTGCAAAGTGATTAACGTTAATATCAGTTCATTTCTGAGAATAAGAGAAACTGAGAAGATCGTTGTTGGTTTTTTTTTTTTTTGCCGCTGTATTGAAAATGAGAGTGGGAAGGGGGGTTCACACTTTTTTTTTTCACTCCTGATGGGTTTGTATCTTTCCATGCACAAGCTAGTTATTGAGCTTTTAGCCACTGACTTACAGAAACGTTTCTGTGAGGGTTAGTGTTAGGGGCGCCCACACTGATCTTGCATACCCCTCAGCAAATATGCAGTTGTGCCCCTGGTGTTGCATTGAGAAGTGTGTGATGGTTTGCAGGATAAATCAGAAATGCTACTGTCATGCAAATATACACAGTATACTGTGACTATACATTATTCATATCACTTTAGGAATAGCAAAGTAATCCCTACGGCATTCAAACTTCACTTTAGAAATAAACTTGAAACAGCCTCAAGTCTGGTTAATGGATGCAGAGACAGATGACTTCAGTTTGTCAGAACAAATACACATTAATAGGAATAGTGCTACTGGACGTCACATTAACAGATGATTTAGGTGGAGAAATGATAAATAGGCTTTCCTTTTACTCAAAGCAAACTGAACATATGTTCTTGACATTGCATATAGTCTGTTTGATAAGTAAGGACAGAGGATTTGGATAAGACTTTGAAAATGAGTAAAGTGTCATTTTATGACAGTTTATTGAACTATATGGGTGGGGGTCATACACTGGATACGTGTTTAGACTTTTTAATGGCTGCTATAGAATTCTCTTTTTGTTTGTCTGATTAAACATTTGTTCTTAAACATACTGATGTACTGCTGAAACAAATGAAAAACAAAGCTTTTGACCTGTGCTGCCTCTTATACATTAGTAATATTTTACACAAAGGGAAGGCAGACATCCCCTTTCAAAATGGTGCTTGCAGACTGCAAATCGAGGAGAACCCCTGACCCACTTTATGAGTTGTATATGCACAGGCACAAGCCAGAGTGACTCTGCACTTCATCACTAGATGTCATACACAGTCCCAAGGGTCCGGTGTGGTACGGCACCTTTATTAATGAAACAACACGCATGATACAACAAACAAAGGAATGTTGTAGGAATAAATTACTGCTGTTTGCTTGTTTCCTTAAGGGTTTTTCTTAGCACTCACAAGCAGCCTAGCACATGACCAACATGAATAGAGGAGGGAAACGTTCAGGGGTGCAGAACAGAAAAGACAAAGGGAAAAGAAAAACAACACATTAAAATGAGGACAGCAATGCCCAAATGAACTAACAGAGATTAGTAAGCTTACCCTATTATTTTTTTCATTGTAAGTCATTAAGTCATTCAAAATTTTACATTGTTGCCTAAGAGTGCAAAGTGATTAACGTTAATATCAGTTCATTTCTGAGAATAAGAGAAACTGAGAAGATCGTTGTTGGTTTTTTTTTTTTTTGCCGCTGTATTGAAAATGAGAGTGGGAAGGGGGGTTCACACTTTTTTTTTTCACTCCTGATGGGTTTGTATCTTTCCATGCACAAGCTAGTTATTGAGCTTTTAGCCACTGACTTACAGAAACGTTTCTGTGAGGGTTAGTGTTAGGGGCGCCCACACTGATCTTGCATACCCCTCAGCAAATATGCAGTTGTGCCCCTGGTGTTGCATTGAGAAGTGTGTGATGGTTTGCAGGATAAATCAGAAATGCTACTGTCATGCAAATATACACAGTATACTGTGACTATACATTATTCATATCACTTTAGGAATAGCAAAGTAATCCCTACGGCATTCAAACTTCACTTTAGAAATAAACTTGAAACAGCCTCAAGTCTGGTTAATGGATGCAGAGACAGATGACTTCAGTTTGTCAGAACAAATACACATTAATAGGAATAGTGCTACTGGACGTCACATTAACAGATGATTTAGGTGGAGAAATGATAAATAGGCTTTCCTTTTACTCAAAGCAAACTGAACATATGTTCTTGACATTGCATATAGTCTGTTTGATAAGTAAGGACAGAGGATTTGGATAAGACTTTGAAAATGAGTAAAGTGTCATTTTATGACAGTTTATTGAACTATATGGGTGGGGGTCATACACTGGATACGTGTTTAGACTTTTTAATGGCTGCTATAGAATTCTCTTTTTGTTTGTCTGATTAAACATTTGTTCTTAAACATACTGATGTACTGCTGAAACAAATGAAAAACAAAGCTTTTGACCTGTGCTGCCTCTTATACATTAGTAATATTTTACACAAAGGGAAGGCAGACATCCCCTTTCAAAATGGTGCTTGCAGACTGCAAATCGAGGAGAACCCCTGACCCACTTTATGAGTTGTATATGCACAGGCACAAGCCAGAGTGACTCTGCACTTCATCACTAGATGTCATACACAGTCCCAAGGGTCCGGTGTGGTACGGCACCTTTATTAATGAAACAACACGCATGATACAACAAACAAAGGAATGTTGTAGGAATAAATTACTGCTGTTTGCTTGTTTCCTTAAGGGTTTCTTTAACCATGAGCAATTTTGCCCCTGCAGACTTTTAGAAAATAAACTCTCTTAAAACACATTTACAAGTTCTTACTATTTTATTTCTCTACTAAAATTTGTTTATTTTTTTTGTTCTTATTTCTATTTTTCTTTGAAAGTCATGAACACTTCCAGAACAATATCATGTAATTTCCACAACTATGTATTTAGTTTAATAGCATTCTGTGATGGACACAATTCCTTTGTTTTGTTAGGTCTAATTTCATTATCTAGTATTTTGCATATCTTAAAATATAAAGTAAGTAAATAAAATAAATACAATTATATTATATGTTCACAATTTTTTTAAATATATTTCACTCTTTTAGTTTATCATAGTTTTAAAACATGAATTGCATGTACTGTAACTCATATTTTAATAAATTTTATATCTTAAGAAGTTTGATAAGCAAAAATAATTAATATAGGTTTCCAAGTTCCAAAAGGCTTCCAAAACAATGCAACTTTCATATGACAAAAAGAAAAAGCTGCAATCTTTTAAAGAAAAAAATAAAAATAAAAATCAACTGCTGGAATGAAAATGTGTCCAAAGTTGAAAAAACACACAAAATTGTCCTCATTTCTACATTCAGCAGGATGCACGTTTGATTTGAAATCACTTTAATTCGACATTAAATTATTACTTTTAATTTTTTTTGCTTGAAATAATTTTCATCAAAATGTGCATAAATAATACAAAATCAAGAACCCAATAGATATGATAAAATATAAAATAAGATAAAATTAACTGTTTAATTAGCTGTTATAAATCTGACTTTGAATTTAAATATGATCCCGACAGGTCACGCATTCCATAAAATAACCTGAAGACTTTAATTTCACACCCTGAATCCTTTCCATTATCAAACAATTTTATTTTTGTGACGATGCTGTCAGTTCAATCAACTCAACCTATTCAGTGTCATGACAAATTTGTAAAACCAACCAACAGAATAAATATATTGGAGAGAAAACCACTGTAATGTCAGTGCATCACATCTACTTTTTGAGCTCCAACACGCACATGTGAGGGTCACTGCTCCTGGACACAGGTTAAAAAGTGCCCCACAGGCCACAATAACACATTCACAAATCCTGTCCAGTTGGCGGGACAAAATGAAAACTTGTTTTGTGTGTGTGTGTGTGTGTGTGTGTGTGTGTTTTAGCTTTCATTTAATGCAAAAGTGCAGCACTGACATCCTGCTAAACATCTCTTTTTGTGTTCAACAAAAGAAAAGGAAAATAAATGACAGGAGGGGTTATAAAATGATGTCCAATTACCCATCCATCCTGTGCTGCCCTCGTTTCTCTTTTTGTTGTTTGTTCTGCTTTTGTTTTGTTTTGTATGTTCTTTAGTAATGCCACCCATGGATTTATTTATTTTTGTCATGCAGTTAAAAACATGAGCTGTGGAAAAGGTGTA